AGAGAGAGAGAGAGAGAGAGAGAGAGAGAGAGAGAGAGAGAGAGAGTTAGATTTCAACTCAATATAAGGAAAAACAATTCTTTAATCGAAACTATCTAGAAATAGAATAGCTATCTCAGGAGGTGGTGAGTTCACCATCAGTGGAGGTCTTCCTCCTTCCACTAGATAACCAACTGTCAGAGACATTGTAGAAAGGATGTATTTTCAAGTAGACAGCCTCTGAGATCTCTTCCAACTCAGAAATTTTATAGCTGTTCTTTGATCTAACTCCCTACCTGCTAAGTATAGGAAGAAAAAAATAAAAAGTAAACAGCTTGTTAACAACGGAAGGCTCTGGAAGGAAAACATGGTACTATTCTTGTCATTCAAGTCAAGAAAATGAACATTATGGACGAACTTCCATACAAACAAACGAGAGGGGCAGCTAGGTGGTGCAGTGGATAAAGCACCAGCCCTGGAGTCAGGAAGACGTGAGTTTAAATCTGGCCTCACATGCTTGACACTTACTAGCTGTGGACCTTGGGCAAGTCACTTAACTCCACTGCCAAGCCAAAAAAAAAAAAACCAAACCAAACCAAAAAAGAGCTTCATTTACTAAGGAAGTAAAATGTTTGCACATCTGTGTACATTGTGACCCCTCTTATCCCAGTACACATAAATGTTTCCCAAACGATGTACAGAGAAAACATCCTACTATTGTATATAAGCAAAATAAATATCTGAAACCTTGGTCAGTTGGAAAAGGCTAACAATGCTACAATCCCAATGCCTGCCTAGTAGAGGGAAATGTTAAGAATCTGAACCCAATTCTTAAGATATAAGATCAGAAACTTTAAATAAATAAGACCGGAATCCAAGAAGTGCTTCCTTACTTGGAAGTGAATACACTGACTGCTGACCTCTCAACTGCAGGAAGATGGCTCAACCTACAGGCCACAAACCTCATCAGGTGCCAGAGGTAAAAAACAGGAAGTATGGAACTTCATGTACCATTAGCATTTGTCCTCCTTTGGGGACAGTTCTGACTATCAGAGCGCGCACACAAAAGACAGAGACGTAGTCTTGTTGAGCCCTGGTTACAAGGTAAGGTTCTCGTAGGCCAGCCTAAGGCATAGTGTGAAAGAATCCAATCAGAACTACCTGAAATCAAGTTTCAACTGTTAGAAACTTTTCCCAGATGCCTACCCAAACATGACTTTAT